GGGGGGGGCAGGAAGGGGGAGCCCGTGCCTGTCACGCTGGGAAAGGCCTCTCTGCTCCCCAGCTCCTTCATATGTGCCCCCCCCACACACGCCGGATACAACATGCACACGCACACGCACACGCACACGCACACACGCGCAGCTCAGGGAGCAGGGAGCTGGGAGCCAGGTGGTCCAGCACCCAGAGGGCTAGGCTGGGCCGAGGGCAGGGGCTGAGCTACACCACAGAGCAGCCCTGCGGCCCTCCCGGGTGCTCCCTGAACCCCTGCCCGAAGGTCAGGATGCGGGGCTGGGCAGGGGTCGGGGGGAGCTGGGGCCGGCCCTGGTGTCCGGCTGGGCCAAGAAGAGGCCGGAGCCCTTGAGACCAACCGAGCCAGGGACGCAGGGAGCAGGCGGCCGCCGTTGCCGCCTCCAGCCGGCCACCCGGTCGCCCCCTGGCGGCCGCCGCTGGCCTCTAGGCCTCGCTCAGCAGGACCCTCCGCCTGGCCCTGCGGTCTGTCCTGTGTGCGTCCCTGTGGCAGGCCCCTCCCCGGAGGGTCCCCTCTGGGGGGACAGTCCACCGCCGGGTGGGCTTCCTTCCCTCTGCCACCTGAGCCAGTGATTTTCAGCCGTTTCATCTCATGCACATAAACTAAGTATTAAAATTCCGAGGCACACACCGAAACATATTTTTTGCCAATCTGGGCAAAAAGTAGGTATCATTTTGATTCATTCACGTGGGACGGCTACTGTTGTGTTGGCTGCTGTCGTTTTTAATTTGAATATCTAAGGGGCAAGAGGTCAGTGTGGGGCGTGTTAAAGTTCTGTGGCACACCACTGCGCCGTCGGTTGAAAATCGCTGGCCTGGGCTCTTGGATGGAGTCAGAGCGGACGCCCAGGCCGGCCCTGCCCTGTCCTGCCTGTGGGCCCTGGTTGGAGCTGGTGACCCCACTCTGCTCCCAAGCACACCTAGGGCTGGCAGCTTGGGGAGGTGACCCCATCCCTGCCTTTGGAGAGGGTTCCAACCAGGAGACATTCGATAAATACTGTATTGATGACACAGGCCGGACGGAGAACCCTGACGGCTCTGGGGCTCCGAGGCCACCTGGGAAGCGCATCCCCCACCCCGCACTAGCGTCTAGGGGTCTCTAGCCCAGGGCTGGAGGCAGCAAAGCAGGGGCCTCCTGGCTGGAATGGAGAGAGGGAGGCTGGACNAGGTCACAGGCACCAGCCGGAGCTGCCCCCCCATCCCCGCAGGTGAGAGAGTAGGAGCCTAAGCCCAGCGGGTGGGCGGGGCCGGCCGTAGAGCAGCAGGACAGGCCTGTGGTGGTCAAGGTGGGCCCGCCTGGAGGGGCAGGTGCGGGAACAACGCCGGCGAGGCTGCTGCTGTGGGGCGAGGTCCAGGGCCCTGTGGGATCTCGGGGGTGGGGACACCACCTCCAATAGCTGCAAAGGACTGTGTGGAGCTCAGAGGAGCCTGGGATGCACCCACCAGGGGCGACTGCGCGGGCCCAGACCTACAGGCCATCCACAGGCGGAGGCGCCTTTTCCTGCCTCCCCTGGTCTCCCCGAAACAGGAAAGGAAGTTCACCGGAAGCCCCAGTGCCTCCAGCACAACAGAACCAGACCCTCCCGGGCCTTGGGAAAGGCTGCCAGGCCTGGACGGCAGGCCGCCTCTCATGCCCGAGGCGATGCTCTAAAGGAGGGCCTGGGGGAGGGTCGTGGCTGGCCCAGCTAGAGGGTCCCTGAGGGGCTCAGGTGGGGGGGTCCTGGCTGGTCTAGGGGGTGAGGCCCTGGTTGGTGTCTCGGGGCGGGGCCCTGGCTGGCTCACACCCTTCTGTCCCCGTTTCTGTCAGGACACTGCAGGGAGAGGCAGGCTCCCGGGGATTATAGTCCTGACATTCTTGATTCCAATCTGGGGGCTGGGGCAGCTGGGGGCACGGAAGACTCACCCCGGCCATGAGGCCTCCAGCCTCCCGCACAGTGGCCGCGGCGCTCAGCACAGCCCCCAGGGCGAGGAGTCCTGCCAGGCTGACCCCTGCAAAGAAGGCTGGGCGGGCAGGGAGGTGAGGGTTAGGGTGCCCCGGCCAGGGGTCCCCAGCGTGCAGAGCCTGGGTGTGAAACCCACCCAAAGTGGGCATGTATGTTGGACTTCGGGGAGCCACGTCTTCCCATCAGGCAGACACGTGCCCCCCGCCACCCCCCCTCGGCCCCACACTCAGAGGGACCCGAAGGAGGGAGCAGGCCCAGGCCCACCCCTGCTTCCTGCCCTGCCGGCCGGGCTATCTTGGAAGCTTCATCCCACCCCCTCCAGGCCCTAGCAACCGGCGGCCACGTGGGGCTGTAATCTTATCGGTCCTGACCCAGGCTTCCTGCAGAGAGGCTGGGATTCAGGGTTAAGGCTAAAAAGCGGGGCCTCCAGTGCACAAGGCCTGGGCCTGGGCCCCACATCCAGCCCAGTGGGCCTTAGTTTCCCCCATAGCCACCCTCCTTGGTGCTTTCACCTAAGGTCAAGCCCCTGGAGGGACCCTGTGGTCCCTTCGAGCTGTTTCAGCCCCTCTCTGCCGGAACCCCTGCTCCAGGACACAGAGCCCAGGGTCCAGACGCCACCTGACTCGCTGTCCCCAGGTTCCTGGGGAGGGGCTGTGGACCTCAGGCTCTGTGCAGCGGGACCCCAGGGCTGACCCTCTGCCCTGACCCACTGCCTGTCCCAGTCCGGCTCCACTGGGGGGCCTCACCCCAGCCCAGGGCTCCTCCCCAGCTGCCTGGGCACCTGAAGCCCCTCCCCGACAGCGGCCACCAGGGCCCCACTCACCCCAGCTGTGCATGGCCTCGTAGGGGGACCCCTCCGGGGACACACGCCTGATGACAGCAAACTGGGCTCCGAAGTAGGTGAGCACTGCCATGGTGGCCACAGAGAGGCCCAGCAGCTGGGTGGGCAGACCCGGAGCGTGGGCAGGCGGGCACTCGCCCAGCCCAGAGGGTCCCCCCACCAGCCTCCCTCCAGCTTCTTGGTCTCATAGGAGACAGGCTCAGCTTCTGGGTGTTTCCATGGGGTGGTCTCAGGGAGGTCTTTGCCTCAGACACCCCCCGACACACTCAGAANAGCCTGGGTGTGAAACCCACCCAAAGTGGGCATGTATGTTGGACTTCGGGGAGCCACGTCTTCCCATCAGGCAGACACGTGCCCCCCGCCACCCCCCCTCGGCCCCACACTCAGAGGGACCCGAAGGAGGGAGCAGGCCCAGGCCCACCCCTGCTTCCTGCCCTGCCGGCCGGGCTATCTTGGAAGCTTCATCCCACCCCCTCCAGGCCCTAGCAACCGGCGGCCACGTGGGGCTGTAATCTTATCGGTCCTGACCCAGGCTTCCTGCAGAGAGGCTGGGATTCAGGGTTAAGGCTAAAAAGCGGGGCCTCCAGTGCACAAGGCCTGGGCCTGGGCCCCACATCCAGCCCAGTGGGCCTTAGTTTCCCCCATAGCCACCCTCCTTGGTGCTTTCACCTAAGGTCAAGCCCCTGGAGGGACCCTGTGGTCCCTTCGAGCTGTTTCAGCCCCTCTCTGCCGGAACCCCTGCTCCAGGACACAGAGCCCAGGGTCCAGACGCCACCTGACTCGCTGTCCCCAGGTTCCTGGGGAGGGGCTGTGGACCTCAGGCTCTGTGCAGCGGGACCCCAGGGCTGACCCTCTGCCCTGACCCACTGCCTGTCCCAGTCCGGCTCCACTGGGGGGCCTCACCCCAGCCCAGGGCTCCTCCCCAGCTGCCTGGGCACCTGAAGCCCCTCCCCGACAGCGGCCACCAGGGCCCCACTCACCCCAGCTGTGCATGGCCTCGTAGGGGGACCCCTCCGGGGACACACGCCTGATGACAGCAAACTGGGCTCCGAAGTAGGTGAGCACTGCCATGGTGGCCACAGAGAGGCCCAGCAGCTGGGTGGGCAGACCCGGAGCGTGGGCAGGCGGGCACTCGCCCAGCCCAGAGGGTCCCCCCACCAGCCTCCCTCCAGCTTCTTGGTCTCATAGGAGACAGGCTCAGCTTCTGGGTGTTTCCATGGGGTGGTCTCAGGGAGGTCTTTGCCTCAGACACCCCCCGACACACTCAGAAACAACCTGACGCCCAGACACCCCCCCCAACACACACACACACACACACAGACACCCTCAACACACACACGGACACCCTGCCTCCCACACACTTTCACACACACACAGACCAAACACACAGACAACCCTGACACACACCCTGACACTCATATACAAACACCCCAACACACACACAGACACCCCAGCACACACTCACCCAGATGTGCCTACACAGACACACAGTCACCCCGACCCCCAAAGACACGCCCATTGTCCACTCTCTACGCAGACCAGGGAGCTCGGATCGCTCTGTCTGCAGGGCAGGGAGTGGGCCCAGCCTAGCCCCAGCCCCGGGTCCCCCACGCTGTGAGAACACCCTGCAACTCCAGGCATTGCTCCCTTCAACCCCAGTGCACCAGCCCTGCCCCGCACCCCCTTGGGCGCTGCCCAGTGGGAGAGCAGACACCCTCAGGGACCCAGGAGCATGCCCATGGGGCAGGATGGACAGCAGGGCTGGTGGATGTAGGGGAACCACCGTGCTGAGGTCCACTAACACGGATGCCACCCCTCCACCCTGATG